CTCTGTCACTACTCAACTTACTAAAGGTTGTTCCTCCATCCATCCATTATCTTCCGCTTATTCCGAAGTCGGGTTGTTGGGGCAGCAGCTTGAGCAGGGAGGCCCAGACATATCTTTCCACAGCCACCTCTTCCAGCTCTTCTTGTGGGACCCCAAGACGTTCCTAGGCCAACCAAGAGACATAGTCTCTCCAGCATGTTCCCCGGGGTCTCCTCCCAGTCGGACATGTCCGAAGCACCTCCCTAGGGAGGCGCCCAGGGGGCATCCTTACTAGATGCTCGAACCACCTCAACTGGCTCCTCTTGATGTGGAGGAGCAGTGGTTCTACTCTGAGTCTCTCCTGGATAACTGACCTTCTCACCCTATCTCTAAGGGAGAGTCCAGCTACCCTCTAGAGGAAACTAATTTCAACCACCTTTATCCTCAATCTCATTCTTTTGGTCACTACCCAGAGCTCGTTACCATAAGTGAGGGTAGGAACGTAGACTGACCGGAAGACAGAGAACTTTGCCTTCCAGCTCAGCTCTCTCTTCACCACAAAGGACCGATACAGAGTCTGCAATACTGCAGACGCTGCACCAATCCATCTGTCAATCTCACGCTCCATTCTTCCCTCACTCATGAACAAAACCCCGAGATACTTGAACTCCTCCACTTGAGGCAGAACCTCACCCTCGACCTGAAGAGAGCAGTCCACTCTTTTCCGGTTGAGGACCATGGCCTCAGATTTGGAGGTGCTGATTCTCATCCCAGCCGCTTCACACTCGGCTGTGAACTGCTCCAGTGAAAGCTGAAGATCACGGCACGATGACACCAACAGGACCACATCATCTGCAAAGAGCAGAGATGGAATACTGAGGCCACCAAACTGGAAACCCTCTGCTCCCCGGCTGCACAGAGAAATTCTGTCCATAAAAATTATGAACAGAATCAGTGATAATGGACAGCCCTGGCCGAGTCCAACTCCCACCCTTAAGGGGTCCAACTTACTACCGGCAATGCGAACCAAACTCTTGCACTGCTTTTATAGGGACTGAACCAGGGGCAGCCGGCTAGTAGAGGGCGCTAGGGCACCGCCCACCGGCTGGAACTACTGGAACTACTCACCATTTTACATAGAAGACTTTAAAAAAATGTAATAAAAATGAAATAATAAAATAAAAACATTTCAAAATATATGTATATATGTTTTTAGTTGTGTAGGATAAATATTTTATAGGTAATGATGAGTTACGTTGTTTGTTTCAAAAAACATCTGATTGATGACGTATTTCCGGCCCCTGGGGGCGCATGAATCTAATCCATGATATCTATGGTCTAATCCATAGACTCTCGTTAAAAATGGCACATGCGCAGTTATTCCGTGACGTCACAAGAAAAAGGAAAGCCTCTGGGTGCAGATATCGCCACCCAGGCACGTCGAACGCAAGTTATAACCATCAGTAACGACTGATCGTGTACTTCCGGTTCCAGTACAGATTTTATTTTTTGTCTGGGAACATATCTTGCTGCAGTGACACTCACAACCAGTCTGGCTGCAGCCTGCAGGTACACTTTAAATCAGCGGTCACTTGGTCGGTTTGGATTTGGACCAAGTGATGGTTCTGTCCGATGGTTCTGACTTCTGACCCAACAGAACACTGGATCAGAGCTGTGTCATGGCTGCCGGCTGTTGTTTCTACAACTTGGCGAGATCTACAATCAGAGAAATTTGAAACTGTTCTATCATCTATTCGACGGTAAGTTGCCTTTTTGTTTTAAAATACTGTTGGGCGTGTTAGTAGCTGTTTTAACGCCAATCAGAGCACTTAATGTAAGACTCCATAGAGCTAACAACTGCGATGAGGAGGATGTGCCTCTTAGGTGAATCTGTTTCTTAAAGATCTTCAGGTTTGTTCATCTGCTGATGAGTTCATTAGGCCCAACATTTCTCTAGTCCCCCACTTATTCAGCTCACAAAATCAATTATTTTTTAGACACCATACAATTTTTAACCCTTGTGCACATCCTGGATGGTGAAGAAATATGATTTAATGTGACTGCAAAAAAAAAATAAAAAAAAAATGTTTTATTGGTAATAATGAATATTTATTTAGAAAAATAAATCAGAGAAACATTTAGGTAAACAGGAAATCTATTTCAAACATCAGCCATACATCAGAAAACTTTCACAAACAAAACATTTCTGTTCATTTTAAATTCAACAAGTTTGCTGAGTGTAAAGAGAAATGGTCGACATGTGGAAATGTGTGATGCACCAAAAGCTGAACCATCAACGCAGGATGATTTAATCTGACTTTAAAGCCTGATATATGTCAGCCTAATGAAAAATACTATGCAGATAAATGTTGGTGGCAAAATAAACAACATTAACCTACACACACACACACACACACGCACGCACACACACACACACACACACACACTGCTATACCTCAGAAGATGTGAAAGATAATGAGCTGAAATGTGGTGTGGTAATAACTGAGAGTTCTCTCCAACACATATTCTGATCACACAAACTCTGTTCCTAAAACTTTGCCATTAACTATTGCAATAAAATCTGCTTGTCAGTTAGCAAAAAGATTCATGAACCACTGGATGGATTTGAATGAAACTTCCTGAAAATGTTCATTAGTGGGACAAGCTGTTTCTTTTCCAGAGCTAATTCACTTTAGTAAATACAGATAATGCTCTAACTAAGCCTAATACTCTGAGCACTAACAGATCACACAGGAACTCCCAGTAACACGAGATCACATAAAGTAATTTACAATATTTTAATTCTGTAATTTCCTATAAGATGATGTTAGTGTAAAACTCTGAGGTGTCACTAGTTGTGCATTTCTTCAGCTAATGCTCAGCCATTCTTCATTTAACATGCTTCAGTTTAAGTTGCTGACTTTGCTCAAGTTGGTTTAGACTTATCAAGAAAATTTCTTCCAAAACTAAAATTTTGTTGAGTTTTTCACATAGACATTCCACCATCAATGTCAGTTTGAGTCACATTTATAAAATATGTTTATTTGGAGCCACCAAACACCAACAAGGTCACATTCACGAACAACTCCTGTCAGCAAAACTATAGCTTCAGCACGTTGGAGGAGAAGCAACACACACAGAGAAACAATACAGCGAAAACTTTAAAAACAATTGTTCTGTCAAATAAAGGGACTTTCTGAAATAAAACAATGAATTATTTCTGTTTAGTGTCATTGAAAGGTTCTTTGTGTGTCCATATAATAGATTAACACAAAAGTGGAAGTTTTAAAAAGTCCAGTTTTTCTCAGAACATCAATCTGACTTTAGTGAAAAGTGCAGTTTCGGTACTTGGTGAAGCTACGATTGATGATTTATTGTTATAAATATCTCCTTGATTTCAAACTTTACATTTATGAGTGTTTGTCTGAATCCACATTTGTGAAAAACTACATTTGGGATGTAGAAAAACTGAAGGATTGTTTAGAGATTCAATTTTCAGCTCATAGGTTATGATTATTTTTGGACTGAAACGTGGGGTTTAATGGTTTGAATTTGTTTGTAAAATAATAATACAAAGAAAAGAACATTAAACTTGTCACATAAATCTGAGAACTGACATCTTAACAAACCAAAAGCAACAACAGAACACAACTTTGACCAGGAAACATCACAGAGTTATTTTATGTAATTCAGTCTTAAAAGTGCGTAAGACCTCTTGTTTGAGCTACAATGTGTTATGTTGCTCTGCAAGTAATTTGTAATTGTAAAAGCAGCTTTATAATCATCAAAATCTGAAGAAAAATAAAAATAAAGTAAAAAAAATTATCACTGTGCATTAAAAATAGTTTGTATAAACTGACTTTCTATGTCGGCTCTTAAACTACAACAGGAAATCAGCTGGTTTTATGGCTGCAGCTGTTTGTAAAGAGGAGGGGGTGGAGCTCTAAACATGCCCCGCCCCTGTGTTGTTGTTGTTGGCAGTTTTAGGTCTGGTTGCACGTGAACCTTTTCGTCCAATGGGCAGGAAGGGACTTGTCTCTGAGGTGACGACGATGCTCGGAATTCGACCAGTTGCGTCTCGCATCATGTGTCCATCAGCAAGATCCCCGTTCTGTCAAGGAGACAAGTTGTTGACGTACCATTTTTATATTAGACAGCACAAAAAGATGGGAACTTACTGAGGAAGAGCAAGCTGATGAACAAAGCTTACTTGTAGCTAATTCATCATATTTTCGGTAAACTTTGCAGTTAAGCAAGAAACTTTTTATTTAGTAAAGATTTGTGGTGCATTCAACAGCGACCCGTAAATTAAAAAAAATCACACTTGTAGTTGCTCTAAAAAGTAAAGGTTAAATTTCTCATTTAGGTTAGCATAAATATTTTTTATTGATGCAGTTGTATTTTGGTTTTGTTACATATTGAAATTTTACAGAAACAGTAAATTCTGTGGATTACTGTTAACTTTCAATCTAAATTACTGAAATTCCATGGACTGGGTGGGTTGCAGGGGCTGCTGGGAAATCTTTGGACTAAAATGGATGGACTTCTTCAAGGTATGTTTTCAGATGAGTTGTTCCTGTTGGTTGTTCTGGTTAGTTTTTGGGGTTGGCATATGTTTGGGTTGTTGGGACTACAAATGGCATTAAAAGTCAGGAAGGGACAAAAAAAAAAAGGACAGCACTTCCTGTTTTGTGAGTTTCTAAGTTGTGAAACTCAACATAAAGGTACATATTCTGACTGTGATGAAGTAATGTTTTTGATGTTAGAAATTATCATGTTTCAATGTTATGTCCTGGCTGCAGGCCCAGCTCTTACACTCACGGTTTGCCACTGTAACTTGAGGATATTTTGTGATGAAGATGGTTGAAACTGTCTGCAGGCCTCTTACAACATCAATGTCCAGAAGATAAAAAAAAAAGAGCTTTAACCTCTCTGGGTATTGAAACCCCCTTTTTTATTCCAGTATTAAAAAATTTCAAATAAAGAAACCAAAACATTTTAACACTCACATGTGGGAGACTGTTGCGTTGATTGACTCCTCCCATGGAAATGGTGTCAAAGGATGTCTGGAGAAAACACATTCAGTCAGAGTCAGAGTTTCTTTATTGTCATTCGCACCTCATGTGGTACATGTGGTGGAGCGAAATTATGTACACAGGGTCCCAGTTACATCCAACAATAAAATGTATAAGAAAAACAGTAATAACATCTAAGATATGAACTAAGAAAAACATCAACTAAATATACACTAAGCACTCATAACATAAAACATTGAACATCACCACAAACATGAACATGAGTCTGTGAGCAGATGTGCACGCATGAACACATCAACATTGAAACAGATCAGCAGCAACATGAAACAGATCAGCAGCAACATGATATGGTTTTTCACAGTGATTATTCTAGTTAGAGATTCATGAGTCTAACAGCCTCAGGGTAGAAGCTGTTCCTCAGTCTAGTGGTTCTACACTAGACTGAGGAACAGCTTCTACATTCATAAAGATATCAAGCGCATTTTCTTCAAATGTTTACTGTCCCTAAATTGTAATTATATTTATTAGCAGAAACAACAAAAAATAGAGTCTACAAAACAACTTTAGATGTTTTTGAGCATTAGTTCTATTTACTGTTAATTTACTATATGTATCTTTCTTCTGAAAAAGTTTTACATGATATTGACACAATATTAGTTCTAAAACCAATCCTAGACAGTATCAATGCTTGTACACTTCTAGAAAAACTACATAAGGTTAGACAGAAACAAAACAAACAAAGAAAAACATCATGAGTAACATCACATTTTCATTGTACCATTTCTTTGTGTTTAGTTTGTATTCCACTGTCCTACTTTATATAACTGGGAGCTGGTGCTGCTGCACATTGCTGTGCGATGTCGGATGGAAAGCTTTATGCGGAAACAAAGACACAACAACCAACATTGAGAAGCAATGCACACACTCACACACACACACACAAAAAAGCCGTGTATGCCATATTCCACACATATGTTGGGATGTATAGTAACAAATGTGTGTATAAATATTAAAGACCGACCGATATATCGGAAGGGACAATATTTTAGGCCGATATAGGCATTTGGGGGCATATTGGTATTAGAGCTGTTATTTCTAACCCAGGCCCGAAGCCCGGCCCAACCCAACCCAATTAGGGGTGGCTGGGCCATGATAATGTGCTGGATGGGTGGGCCGGGTCGGTGTTGGGCCTTTGATTGCGTCAGCGGATCAGCCGCAGTTTAATTATATGGCAACATGGCTTGCCATAAATCCAATTATATGACATCACTGCTTGCCATACATTCACCAGCCTCACACTAAGCTTCAGATGGTACTTTACTGCCAGGCAGCGATCCATCGCCCAAATGGACGGCCATGAAAGGACAAACACCCCCTCAGCTCTGATCTTCTGCCCCTTTTATTCAGCCACGCGTCACCGCAGTAAAGTTTGTTTTATGTTGAACATTGGACATTCGAGCTCTGTGGCTTCAACGGTGTGTTCCTCCCGTTCGATCCTATGCAGGCAGTCTGACATCAGTCAGCCAAACTCGAACAAGAGGAGCACACTGCTGAAGACATGGAGCTCGAATGTCCAACGTCAAACTAACTTTACTGTGGTCTGCGTGTCTGCCGACTGTTAATAACTATATAAGCAGTCAAAGTTAATTAAAAATGTGTGTGTGTGGGGGGGGGGGGGTCGGGTTTGGACCTGTAATTACTGTTAATTCGTCAGGTCGGGTTGGGTTCGGAAATGATGGATATTGTTGTATTCTGCCGTAAGGAGTGTTGAACCCAAGTGCAGGAGGATGACAGGAGGCTCGTGGAAAAATCAAAAATATTTATTTTTACAAAAAACAACAAAACAGAAGATGATGGGGCAGCGTACTCACAGACAACAGGACATAGGACGGAAGGCAGAAACACACCATAAGGACAATCCTGAGACAAAGACAAGACGAAGAGGAACTGAATATATACACAGACACTGATTGGGACAACGACAGACACCTGCAGTGATTACATGAGACACAGGTGAGACAGGGGCTGAGCACAAGGAGGGAAAACACTGAGAGCTGGAAACATGAGGAAACGGACAGAGACAGGACCAAAAACCCCACAGATATGGACTGGGGCAGGTCGGATCTGATTTTTTTGGGCCTGAATGCAACTCTAATTGTTATCGGTGATAAGTGTTTCATTATGCATTGATATAAACACTGGGAACAAGTCATGTCCTTACTTGCAAAAGGTGTAATTGTACAATATATCCAGCAGAGGTTGCATTTGGACTACTTTCAAGTCTTGGCTGTCCACTTTCACTTTCAGCACAGCCAAAGCAGTGATCAATACTGTATAGAGTACCGGTATTTTGCTGAACAGAGCATGGTAAGTTTATTGTAACTGAGCTGTAAAATAAAATTTTAAAAATCAACAATTGTAAATTCTCTTCAATCCTCCAACCCACTTGTCATTAGCTACTTAACTCTCAAGTTAGCAAGCTAACATTTAGATAACCTAGCATAGACTGCCTTGTAAAACTTTAGCCAGAACAATAAATCTAATGTGGAGGTAAAATATATTAGTGTTAGTAACGTTATCTTTGTCGTCCTCAATGAAATGCATTGTTTGGCTGACATCTTTACTTCTCTGCAAATAAAAATAAACTCTGCTATAGTCAAAACTAATTAGGCCTTCACCATACATGACTGACTGTTTAAACAATGAACAGGGAAGGAGTTTCTTTGTTTTATTCATATTTTTGTAAAACACTTGATAATTTTATGGTGAATAATGGAGGATAGAAAACGTGAATGCACGTTAGAAAAACTGTTTCAAGACTTCAAGTGTTAAAACACAATTAAAAGTAGCTGTTTACTTAGATTCTTGGGGGTGGGCAAAGGTAAAAAAAAATGTTCAGCCATTACTGTATATCTGTTATCGGTATGAGCCTTCTCCTCGCAATATTGATATTTGCGATAGCCAACTTCCGTATCGGTCAGGCTTTAGTAAATATATGCAAACTTTTAACCTGCTGTGAAAATGAGTTTACCATCACACAATCTTTTTCGGTGAACAGTATTAAACTACAACGTAGTGAAACTCATCTAAATACAAAGTGTACACCAAAATATAACTTGATTTAGTTTTCTGTACGTAAGGGGCACAATTACACAACACTTTATAATGAATTCTAACTCTCATGGTTTAAAGCCAAATGACAAATCTGAAGTACAATAAACATAACTTATGACATGCTTCAAAATTAGTTGAAACAACTTCATTCTAATGTAAACTGTGAAGTACCCTCTGTTTTTGTCATGTGTAGATGTACGCTTGCATCAGTGACTGCATGCCTGTGAGGTGGAGAAGCGGCAGAGGTCGATAAAATGTGTGTGAATCATCTGAAGGGCACTTCCATTTTCACTGAGAAGAAAACTGTGTCAGATTAGCATATTAATTTAGAAGGGCTCTAAATACCACTGGGTTCAGCTACAATACAGTGACTACTGACTCCACAAAGTGACCAAGAACACATTTTTGGCTGCATCAACTCTGAAGATTTTAGATGCTGGATGGAACAGTGCTGTCCTAACCAGTAAAATGCAGCTGACTGACACCAGATCTGGTACCTACTACATGACTTTGACAGAAGTTTACCTTTTCAAATATGCCCGAGTCATGATTCTTCAGCTTGGACTTGAAGCTGGAGGAGTGTTTGATGTTGGGCAGCTCGGCTGTATCCCTGCTGATGTCACAGGAAACCTGTCGGCTGGCTGGTCGGGAGCTCATGCTGGTCAAGTCTGCCTCAGTGTCTGTCAAACCCTGCAAAGGAAAACCCATACTTCATCAAATCAGGTTTAAAGGTTCTACCTGTTATCTGGTGAAATGTCGAAAAACTCACTGATTCGCTGTCGGAGGCAGAGGAAAGGCGGGACTTTCGGGTGCTCGGCCGCTTGTATTGGCTGCTGATGTCAGAGCTCTGGCTGGTCAGAGTGGAGCGACGCGTCGATATGAAGCTGCTACTGGTCGAGCGAAGGTCACGAGGACGGACACAGAGCAGAGTGCCCAGACATGGTATGTACTTGGCTAATGCTATCCTGAAGAAAGAACAAAACACAGCTCCATACTTTATCACTTCAAGATTTACTCTGGATCTTTTTGTTACAGATATGGCTTGTTTTCATCACCTCAACTCCAAGGTCATGGTCACAACTCAAGCTCAAAGGTTATTCAAGGTCATTGCTTGTCCAGGCCATTACTATAGATAGCTGTATAATAGTTTTTCAACGAGTGTATAGTGTGACGTATGCAGTAAGCTAAACAGCCATTTTCCCTTCAGACCAGTGCACATAAATATAAATTAAGTAACCACGGCTGCCTGGTGGATCAGTGGATAACTAAAGGGGACATGGCCTTTCAGTCAGTGGCCCCAAGGCTGTGGAACAGTTTGCCCCTGCAGCTTTGTTTTGCTGACTCTGGACATGCTGGAGGTTTTTAAAAAGCAACTGAAAACACTTTTATTCTCTCAGGCTTTTATGTCATGATTTTATTGGGCTTCTTATGCTTTTTTAATTCTTTGTATAATTTAACGTTGGTTTTTATTGTACGACACTGTGATTTTATGTCTGTGAAAAGTGCTTTATAAATAAAACTTTACTTACTTACTTGATAGAGCTGTTGCCTCTCAGAGAGAAGATTGCTGGATCGAATCCTGGCCAGAGACCTTTATGGGCAGAGTTTGTATGTTCTCTCTGTGAATAGCGTCCTCAAGTTTCCTCATATGCATGTTAGGCTAACTGGTAACTCTAAATTGTCCCTAGGTGTGAATTTGTTAATGATCTTTTGTCTCTATGTGCCCCTGTGATGGATGGGAGACCTGTCCAGGGTGTCCCCCGTCTTTCACACAGTGACTGTTGGATATGGGCACCAGTGAACCCCGTGACCCAAAAAGGAAGAAACGGGTGAAGATGATGGATGGATTATAAACATGGCAGGTCAGTAGCTAACAGTATCATCAACTTTAACATCTTTAACTTTGGAACCACATCTTATGATTATGCTCATTTCCATCTTCTTTACCCACTTCTCCTTTCCGGGTCATTAGGAGCTGGTGCCAGCACGTCGTACGTCCATGACAGGGACACAGAGACAAACGAGACAAACAAACAATCACTCTCACACCTAGAAAAAATAAAAGTTACTAATGAACCTATTGGTCTGTTGGAGGAAACTGGAGTACCAAGAGAAAACACTCATGCACGAGGAGAACGTACAAACTTCACACAGAAAGGCCAGGAGGCCATCCTGTGATATTTTCACTAAGAGGAGACAGCTCATTGCCATCCATTATCTCATGGCCTCATTACCTCATGGCCATCCATTATCTTTACCTGCTTATTCCATTTTGGGTCACAGGGGTCGCTGGTGCCCATGTCCAGCAATCACTGTGCGAGGGGCGGGGTACACCCTGGACGGGTCGCAAGTCCATCACAGGGCCACATAGAGACAAACGAGACAAACAACCGTTCACTCTCTCATTCACACCTAGGGACAATTTAGAGTTACCAATCAGCCTAACATGCATGTTTTTGGACTGTGGGAGGAAACTGGAGCACCCAGAGAAAACCCACGCATGCACGGAGAGAACATGCAAACTCCACCCAGAAAGGCCCCTGGACCGGGGTTTGAACCAAGGACCTACTTGCTGAGAGGCAGCAGCTCTACCAGTTGCGCCACCGTGCTGCTCTTAAAAATACACACCTTTCATAAATAGTTTTATTGATTTTTGTTTATTTTCTTGATTTTCAATGTCAACATTATAATATTTTTATTCTTGAATACATGGACATTTAAAGTATTTTTTTTATTATTCTTGCTGCTTAAAAATATTAAAACAGTCAGTGTCCTGCGTTAAGCTGTCATTTGTGAATATTTAATTTCAACCCAGTTAACATCTAGGTTAAGTGAGAAGGGATTATTTTAGTTCAGGTGTTAGAGATTAACAATGAACCAGTCGGTTCAATCATTCACCAAGTTCTGCTCACGTTAAAAAGACAAGAAGCAAACAAAGTCAAAATAGTACATAAAAATGTACTAAACTCAAAGCAGTCCTGTTTTATTACCTTTCATTTCAGTCTACAGCAGAGATGTGCTGTTTGAATTTGATGATGTTAAAATGTCTAAATGTCTAAAGAGAGAAAGTTACGGCCCTGTGATGGACTTGCGACCCGTCCAGGGTGTACCCAGCCCCTCGCACAGTGATTGCTGGACATGGGCACCAGGACCCCCTTGACCCAAAATGGAATAAGCAGGTAAAGATAATGGATGGATGGATGGAGAGAAAGTTACATGAATGTCTTAGTTTGTGTGTTTGATAAGGCAACAAACGAAAAATACAAACACATCTCAGGCATCGACTTTTCTCATTTAGATATTGGAAAAATTCTACACAATAACTAGTTTTGTGATGCAGAATCTTTAGTTAGAAAAAGTTGACATGTTGGTTGTAATAGATTGTTGCGTACCACCAGATGAAGAGATTCTCAGCGTGACCTCAGCAGAACTAAGGAGTACTTTCAGGAGAAATAATCCGCACAAGGCAACCGGCCCGGATAACATCACCGGGAAGGTGTTGAAAGAATGTGACGATCAGCTCTGCGAGGTGCTGGCAGACATCTTTAACACCTCACTTACCCTGGCAACAATTCCCACCTGCCTGAAGACTGCCACCATACCATACCATACCATACCATACCATACCATACCATACCATACCATCCATCCATTATCTTTACCCGCTTAATCCATTTTGGGTCACGGGGGTCGCTGGTGCCCATGTCCAGCAATCACTGTGCGAGGGGCGGGGTACACCCTGGATGGGTCGCAAGTCCATCACAGGGCCACATAGAGACAAACGAGACAAACAAACATTCACTCTCTCACTCATACCTAGGGACAATTTTAGAGTTACCAATCAGCCTAACATGCATGTTTTTGGTCTGTGGAGGAAACCGGAGTACCCGGAGAAAACCCACGCATGCACGGAGAGAACATGCAAACTCCACCCAGAAAGGCCCCTGGACCGGGGTTTAAACCAGGGACCTGCTCGCTGAGAGGCAGCAGCTCTACCAGTTGTGCCACCGTGCTGCCTCCATAGCATACCATACCACTTTATTTATAAAGCACTTAAAACAGCGACAAGGCCAACCAAAGTGCTCACCATCATCCCAATCCCAAAGAGCTCTACAATGACTGGTCTGAATGACTATCGGCCAGTGGCCCTCACCCCGATAGTCGCTAAATGCTTCGAAAAACTGGTCATGACTCACATCAAAACAACCATCAACATCAACGAGGACCCTCATCAGTATGCATACCATGAGAACCGATCAACAGAGGACGCCATCTCCTCTGTGGTCCACAATGCTCTCACCCACCTGGAGCAGAATGACTCCTACATCCGTATGCTCTTTGTGGACTTCACATCTGCCTTCAACACCATTATCACCCAAACCCTGATGGACGAAATATTCACACTAGGACTATGCGCCTCCATTTGCAACTGGGTACTAGACTTCTTAACAAACAGACTACAGTTAGTGAGGATCCACAACCTCTCCTCCTCCACCATAACACTCAGCACTGACTCTTCTCAGGGATGTGTGTTGAGCCCTCTCCTGTTCACTCTGCTCACATATGATTGTGCATCTACCCATCCAGGCTGTCACATTGAAAAGTTTGCAGATGATACAGCGGTGGTGGGATGCATCACAAACAATGATGAGTCCAGCTACAGGCAGGAGGTGGAGCACCTGGAGAGCTGGTGCTGAAAGAACAACCTTCACATCAATGTGAAGAAGACAAAAGGGATGATCGTGGACTTTAGAAGGAACAAACACACCTACACCCACCTGGAAATAAGAGGATCTGCGGTGGAAGTGGTCTCCAGCTACAAGTACTTGGGTGTGTACCTGAATGACAACCTCAGCTGGGGCAACAACACTTCTAGCCTGATCAAGAAAGCTCATCAGAGACTCTACTTCCTCAGACGGCTGAGGCGAGCTGGTCTGGGAAGCTCAGTCCTCACCTCCTTCTACAGGTGTGCAGTGGAGAGCATCCTGTGCTCCAGCATCAACATGTGGCATGGAGGCTGCACAGCTGTATAAAGAAAAGCTTTGCAGAGAGTGGTGAAGGCTGCACAGAAGTCTGTTGGAGACAGTCTTCCCACCATCACAGATATTTACACCTCTAGATACAGGAAGAGGGCATCATGAAGGACCCCACTCACCCAGCATACACACTTTTTGCCCAGCTCCCCTCAGGAAGGAGGTTAACGAGCATTAAGTGTAGAACCACTAGACTGAGGAACAGCTTCTACCCTGAGGCTGTTAGACTCATGAATCTCTAACTAGAATAATCACTGTGAAAAATCACATCATGTTGCTGCTGATCTGTTTCATGTTGCTGCTGATCTGTTTCATGTTGCTGTGTTCATGCGTGCTCATCTGCTCACACAAACTCATGTTCGCACTGCTATTCGGCGTATTGTTTTTATACTTGCTAGAGCTTAGTGTATTTTTAGTTGATGTTTTTCTTAGTTCATATCTTAGATCTTATTACTGTTTTTTTTTTACATTTTATTGTTGGATGTAAATGGGACCCTGTGTACATATTTCGTTCCACCACATGTACCACATGGGGTGCGAATGACAAATAAAGAACCTTGAATCCTTGAATCCTTTACAATAAGGTTCCCTTTATAGATGGCTAATAAATAATTTAGATACGTTATCAATTCCTCTATAAACACAAATCATTAATAATTGTTTATTATGCATTAATTAAAGGTGGCAGAGAGACAAAACTGACCAGTGTTGTAAACATGTTTCTTTAGCATATAATATTGTACTTTATCACTGCATTATAAGTATGTACAACTACTTTGTAATATTATATCAAAAAAATATATGTTTACAAATGCTTATTGTACTTAAAAGGTAGCAACTTAGTTTGAAATGTTTAATATAACAACTTTAGATGAAATATATAGGTGAACAGATTTGACTCACTATTTGGCAAGAAACTGGTCAGTTTTGTCTCTGTCACCCTTATTTAATGTGTAATAAACAATTATTAATGATTTATGAAGTGTTTATAGAGGAATTAATGACATACCTATAAACTATTTATTGGCCATCTATAAGGAGAGCTTTATTGTAAAGTGGTACCGATTGTTGATTTTCCTCTGGTGTTATTAAAAAGAGTAAATAAGAGATGTGTAATGTGTCTTATTGTGTCCGTTGTAATAAAACAGGAGGCGATGGTTTAAACTCTGAAACTTTATTCCAGCATCTGCTGGAAACAAATATGCAAAACTTGTTCCCACTTTTCCATTCTTCTTTGTCTCTTTTACCTCATGCTGTCCCAGCAGCACCCTCTGGTGACAAGGAGTAATAAAAGCAACAGAACCGACCAACAAATATTTTTACTGCATAAACGTAAGAACACGTTTGGAATGGATTATTATCATTTTCTGTAAACAGTATGTTAAAACAAATATTAAATGAAAAAAAAATGTTTGTTGGAAAAACGTGTTTTCTTTTGTATGTTAACTCAAAATGAATGACCAAAAACCAACACATTTTGTGCATAATCTTGGAGCAAATAATGGGAGTTGGCTGATCTTTGACCCAGGCCCTAACCCAATATTTAGAGGTTAAGTGGACGTTGCTGATTACACCTGTGAGGTTGTTACCTGTACTTTGGGTGCGTGATGGCGTAGATGATGGGGTTATGGATGGCTGAGGCCTTGGCGATGACAGCAGGAACAGAGTTCATGTACGGAGTCAACATGTCTGCATACCTGCAGCAGAAAGAACCAGAACAAAGTCTGTTGGGTTCAGCTCACTAACATTCAGAACCACAGGTACTTTTTTCACATGTCAAGGGTCAATCAATAAACCTAAACGCTGAAGTCACTTCTTGTGTTTAGTTTGAAAGAAGTTTTAGAACAAAACTTGATTTTTAAATAAAGATCAGGTTACGTATATCATGTTTCTGTTCACTTCCCTGAGATGACCCGTTGTGACTTGGCACTATTTAAATAAACTGAATTAAATTGAATAGAATCAATCAAACTGCTAAAATGTGTTAAGCAGCTAATAATTTCAAATGTATTTATTGCAAAGTCGCAAAGACCAGCCAAAATTATTGATAAAGTAGAAATCATAATCTACTCAATTTTGTTTTATGTCAGTGATGAATGTGTCCTTAAATTAAAAACATGTACCTGTAAGTAAAAATTGTTGCTTGCCAGATGCTAAATACCGTAAAAATTAAAAAAAATAAAATAAATAAATAATGGAAGCATCCCAGGTGACTGAAAATATGTAAAAAATGGTGAAGTACATGAAAGAGCAGTTTGGGAGACAGAAAACCAACAGTTTTAATAAGTATGTATTATTGCAGATTTATTGAGTAAAATGTTTAGATTTTTTTTAAACAATCTAAACTAAAATGGACAAGAAACTGGAGTGATTTATTGTTTATTTGAGAGATGAAATTGTTCAAACCCACTGCAAAATGCAGTGAGCTCAAACAGACTGACATTTTCCTTCATCTCCAAGAATTATATCACCTCTTTTACTCTTTTACCATTTTTAAGTCCAGGGATGTGCCTCACCATATTCTAAAATTACTCAATGCCAAAATAAAAATAAATAGGTGATGAGGCATATACATGAATTAATGAATCTTTGGTTGCCTCTTTCCAATCTAGCAGAAGTTTTGCACAAGTTGTTTGTAGCATCAGCTCTGTCTGTGAGCCCTGATATTCAGTGGTGGGATGTAACTACAAATACTTCATTACTGTACTTAAGTACAATTTTCATGTATCTGTACTTTACTTAAGTAGAGTTAAATGTGGGTACTTTATACTTTTACTCCACTACATTTTACATCAAGTATCTGTACTTTCTACTACACTACATTTTTATAATGCGTTGCAGGAAGTACTTTTACTTTTAATACTTTAAGTATTTAATTAAATACTTTAAGTATTTTAAAAGCAAGTACTTATCTACTTTTACTTAAGTAAAAATGTTAATGTGGTACATGTGCTTTTACTAGAGTACATTTTTGTCTGTTTATTTGTACTTTTACTTAAGTACAGTGTTTGAGTTCTTTCTCCACCACTGCTGATATTTATTCTTGATAGTTGTCTAACAGGTTCTCCTTCTTTTTCCATGTTTAGCAGCAGATGCACTTCTTGCCTATTTCCCCCTCCTTGTTTTCTTCCACAGACCAGCGTCATAGAAAGATACGGCTCTGCCACAGACTACAGATTCAGCTAATTGCTTTGTTTACATTGACTGCAGACCCACATGTCAGAACTGCAACTCAGTATGGTATATCTGGAAGATCACTGCTACTTTTTCAAACTGCAACATTTAATAAAGTTCAAAATAATTTTTATGTTTTATTTTACAAAACATTAAATTTTGGCTTGTGATGGACTGGAGACCTGTCCAGGGTGTCCCCCGCCTCTCGCACAGTGACTGCTGGACATGGGCATCAATGACCCCATTGACCCAAAAAGGAAGAAGTGGGTAAAGTGGATGGATGGATGGATGGATGGATGGATGGACGGACGGACGGATGGACGGATGGACGGACGGACGGACGGACGGACGGACGGACGGACGGACGGATGGATGGATGGATGGATGGATGGATTAAATTTTGGCCAGATTAGGTATAATTAAAAACAACAACATTGTGTTGTATTTAAAATGGACAATTGTAAAATTTTTAGATACCTTTAAGTACCTTTAACTTCCATCTGAATGAAACTGTTTACAGTCTTTAACATGTTTTCTGTACATCCATCTGCAGCTTAGTGTAAGATCTGAAAAACTGCAGTTAACAAAATAACTTTTACTTAATTAAAATATAAATGAGACTGAAAACAATCCTGTATTTAAATTGTCAATTGAATTGTATCAGATCTGATAAAACAAAACAAAACATTAATAAACTAATTTTAATTATAGAAGTCGCTTCAAAGCGTCTGCTCTGTAAAGTCATTTTTACACATTTCAGCCTCATGTTTGCAGTGAAGGTTGTTGATTTAAAATGTGTAAACTATGTTAAAGATTACATTTAGCAAACTGCTGTTAAATAGTACCCAGCAAAGGCGGTGAGCGCGACAGTTGAGTATGGTGACCAGGAGATGACGTAGAGCAGGATGACGATCAGAGCGATCTTTGCCATCTTCCACTCGTTCTGCAGCCGGTGGAAACCCTTCGTCATGTCCCGAGTGCTGCTGTGACTGTGGGTGCTGCCATTAATCTTCCCTACCCCCCTGAAAACACAGAGAAACATGCAAATGCTGAGCAGCTAAGGTTAATTTAACACACATAATGCAAATCTAGATCTCAGAGTTACCCTTACTTTATGGACTGAACTGTAACTTTAAAGAAATTATCCCAAATTTACCACAAAAACTACTTTTGACCACATTTGTGTTTGGGCAAATATCCTGGGGGGTCGGGGGATACGGACCCCTCCCAATTTTGGACAAACAATGATCAGTTTGAGTAAATCAATGTGTGTGAAGAATATTTTATTTGATTTAGTGGATTTATTTATTGGACATATGTATTCTGTTTGTTAACATATTTATTTAGAGCTTTAAAGTTTTGTACAACAGCTACACACTGCAACAATTATTCAGTTACCTCAAAAGCCATTTAAACCAAATAAAATCAATCTTCAGAGTGATTCTAAACAATCCTTGCATTGAGGAAACTACACCCATATTTAATGTACATTGACTGTTTCTCAGCAATTTTCACTCTGAGAGTGAGTACATTAAAATATTTAGTGATCGTGGCAGTGTTTGTTTATGTTTCCATGGCAACATCGGACCATTGCATATGTGTCTCTGTGGTAGGTTTTGTAAAAATAATAATAATAATAAGCTTTTGTTGAAAATCATATTAATGCAAACAGGAAGAAAAAATAAGTAAAACAAAAAACTGGCGTGGGGTTTCTGCAACTCGTTTACCTGGAGAACAGTAATGAATGTTAACTTTTTGTTTTGCAACTTTACATTTATTTGTCTCTTAATGGACTCCCAAAAAATTACTCTTACAAAACCTCCTGTTAACTGACACCCCCGCCCCCCAATAATGAGGTCCTGCCCTTGTATTTGTGTAAAAAACCTCGTTTTGCAGCTCATCCCTTTGTGATCGTTTTGAACGTGTTCTTTTTCCTATCTGACTCAGGTCAAACAACATCGATGGGCAGCAAAGTTAAACTGACTGGTTGGTGATGCGGATGGCTCGGAAGATAAAGACGTAGCAGTAGATGATGATGAAAAGCGGCAGGAAGAAGACAAAGATGAAGAGCAGCATGGTGTACGCTCGCACTGACGGCGTGAAGGTCATGTAGTCCCACGTACAGGAAGTCAGCAGGCCCTCAGGCACATACGCACCTGATGAGACACACAGTGACACACAGGAAAGGTGCGACAACGTTAAATCAGGTCCTCTGGATGGATTAAGAAAAAACTGTTGAAGCGTTTCTTCTTTTATCCAAAGGACTTCTTCAGTCTGAGGAGCTGCAGTAAACTCAGTCTTATAAGTAGCCCCTTCTCAGAGTGGATCAGCCAGTTTGATGGTGACATCCAGAACTAGCTTAATGCCCTGATGGCCGCTTGCTATTCACAGGGGGCTGAGTGAGCACGAGATATGAAACCAAGGAGATTTTTTTTTCTCAATAAATCTGAAAAAATAAACTGTAATCTGTAAAATAATCTGTAGAAGACAGATTGAATGATAGTTAGTTTCCACTGGACAAAGGTGATCAGCAGGTACCACAGCAGCGAGCAGTGTGTCTCTGAACACTAACAGACCATTGGACCATAAGTTAATAATAATGGTAACACTAAGGTTAGGTATGGTGATGATTTCATTAACTTTAATGTGACCTGCAAGTCTGTCCTGTAGAAAAATCTACATTCTGCAGGTATTGGACTGACACTTTGTATTGGCCAACCTTTATTTTTAAATGAATGGTTAGCAACGGGGACAAAACAATCTTAACCAATAACTCTCTACTGTACACATTATTATGGTTGTGTCAACAGGTTAACTCTTTTGTATCTTACCTATTGAATAAAGTAATTAATCAAACTAAACAATTTTATGTGTCAAATTTGACACAGTTTCATTGTCATTTTTATTTTCATTACATGAAGACGTCAAAATCACTTTTAAAAACCTATAAATTATTTATGTTTCGTGTGTCTTGTGAGTTAATGTGTGTTCTCACTCCAGCCGAAGAACGGTGGTAGGCTCCAGCCAAGGGAGTACGCCCACACCGCCATAAGGATGAAGAGGGCCCGTTTCCGTGACAACACACCTATGGAGGCCAGAGGGCGGGTGATGACCACATAACGATCAATGGCGATCACAGTCAGTGTGATCATGGAGCAGATCCCAAACAGAGCGCCGCAGAAAGCGTACAGCTCACAACCTGCAGAGAAAGAACTTATCCTTTTAGTTTAAAACCAGTTCACAGAGTAACACAATCTGTTAAAGCTTTTTAAACAAACTTTATGTAATTTTAAAAAAGGCCTCAGACTGTCGCTCTGCAGACGTCTGTTTTATTTCAGCTGAAGTTATGAGGATAAAAGGACCTTCAAATTTTAAAAGAAGGAAGAAGCTGAGTCACAATAGAACATGAATGTTTTCTTTATTAAACACAATGAAACAACTTTTACTTTAACTCTGGGCTTAAATGAAGATCTAAGCAAAAGTTCAGTACGACTTCCTGACTCCTTCTGACTGAGCTGCTTTCATTGCTTCATTTGATGTTCAGGTGTTTTTGCAGTGTTTTATCACTTAACAGGTGGGTGATCAAACAATCACCTGAGTATATGTGTGGTGATTTGTCTGTCTGTTAGCAAAATATCTCATGAGACTTTCATAAAGTAATCAATGAATGTAAAGCACTAATGTCAAGTTGTGTAAAATGTAAATACAAACAGAATGCTGGGCATACGGGACACGGCCGAGCTGTGGGATTCTGAAAGCAGTAGGCAGGTTGTGTTGGACAGCGGCAGCAGGTGATGAGACAAAGACTCATGCTTGAGAGGAGTTTGGTGAGGAAGACTACCCATTTGTTTCAGCTGATCATCCAACACCTGAGGGGCAGCAACTATCTTGCATTGTTCACAGTTGGGACGGGGAGCTGCTGACGCCACATGGGGATGTAGTCGGGCAGAGGAAAGAATAATTTGAGAGTATCCTGATGCATGCTCAATAATCCAGGTAGAAAAATCTAAAAAAGTTAAATCTGGTCCTCTGGACATTCAAAAAAAACAAAACAAAGCAAATCAACAAAAAAATGTAGAAACGTTTCGTCTCTCATCC